ACAACATTCCAGTGATGGAACATCCACCGTATTCTCCGGACCTAGCACCGTGCGACTTTTTTCTCTTCCCAAAAATCAAGTCTGCGCTGAAAGGGACCAGGTTCGAGTCCGTGGATGCAGTGAAAGCAAAAGCGACGCAACTCTTGAAGAGCATAACACAAGATGACCTGCAGCACTGCTTCCAACAGTGGAAAATTCGCATGGAGCGGTGTAGGGATCGGGGAGGGGACTACATTGAAGGGGATAACATTTCGACTGTCTGATTTTTTTTTAATAAAGGGTTAGAGCATGAATCCGGTTTCTTTATTGCCACACCTTGTATGTAAATACAGACAGTGGACTTATTAATACAGACCGACTGACTAATGACAGACCCAACCTCTTGTCAGAGAGAGCGCTCCACATAGACAAGACAGTAACTTTCATTCAAAATTTTGTCAGTCATAAGCCCCAGGGGGGCTGCACACCAAGACACACAGACTGACTCACCGTGAGTTAGACTGACTCACCGTGAGTTGCAACATGACTTTTACTTTGACTTTGATGCGGCTTTTACTTGGTTTGAGCAGAAGTTGAATGCTGTAGTTAGACGGGCGAAGCCATGCGCCACAATGTGGGAGGTTCCCACTTAATAAAAATACTTGAATGAATTACAGATTTTGGTTACTTGGGTCAGAGTACAGCTCATGAGAGAGCGATGTTAATGTCTCAGCAATTCTGTGGAATTTTGAAGTGCACCATTAATGGAACAAAATGACTGCTAGAGTTCATAGGCCGCTCAGAGTCATAGCATTTAATGCAAATGTCTATGAGCTCAGTAAACAGCTACAAGACCTATTTACAATTGTGTCTATGCTCTCAGAGAGTTTTCTCAAACACCATGAGAGGTTGCATGTAGTTGTTTATAGTGCAAATAAAGAATTCCAATAACATGCTCTGAGGCCAAGCATATTCATAAGAGACAAACCCACCCCCTCGTCAGAGAACATGTTACGTAAGGACTAATACCGCAGGTGTTAAGTTGAAAAAAATTCTCATATAGTGATAGTATTCAAGATTTACATGAATGTGTGCACTGAACGCGTTTGCTTGTTCTGCCTGGCTTGTTGTTGCAGTAATTCCTGCTATCATTTGTGTTAGTTTTTAGGCAGTGATAAGATAATATGATACTGGAGAAGACTGCAGAATGAGGAGCCTCATAATTTGTACTCCTCGCCAAATAGCAACAATTTCTATGCTACTGAAGTCTGAGGGAGAAAATTTGGGATGGTAGGAACTTTCAAATGGTATTTCCACTTTCTCCTGGACCGACGTGTGGTCAGTAACTTGGCCAGCGTTTACCTACAGTATGTGTAATATAGGCATATTTTAACTCCGCGACTTTAGTCCTCAAGCGAACTATACCGA